AAGGGATTAGTCTCTAAGATAACTATTAATCCAAAATCCTCACAGAATAAGTATGCTCACTCTAATGTATTATTTTAAAATTACAAGATCACTCACTATATATTTATGAATAACCCTATGATACAAAACAAGAAATTGATACTTTTTATATTTTCCTAAGTTTTAAGCTATGTTTTAAGTTAGATACACACTCATTTGGAGATACACAGGTTATAATAATCAGCAATGTCAGCATTATTTAGTTTTCTTCCTTTTTGGGACAGGGTCATCTGAGACATTAACCCATGCCTTGTTTTTGTCTTTCCTGCCTCGGGTATTACCAGACTGACAGGTGACAGCGCGTTGCACTCTGATGGTGTTATTGTTGTAACCAAATTGACGCATATCTGGGTTGTCACTTCTCCTACCAAGCTTCCTCTGGTTCCCAAAATACTCCTCAAGGGGATCTTGGCAAAAGCGCTCAGTGAGCACATATTCCATCCCTTCATTAAGTAGAAACTTTGTAGCCTCTACAACTGAATGAACTGTGATTTTCAAGCCTTCGTAGGTTTGCCAAGAGAGAAACATCTTGCTCCTTGCATTGTTGGTGTACTCACCAGGACGATTGGCCACACTCTCTCTCCAATTTCTCAAATAACCAAGGAAATCATTGGTTAACCAGGCAAACCGTTGATCATTCACTGATGAATATGGCTTGAGAAATGGCTTTCTTTTACGCACATGCTCATGTTGGTTGCGAACATTCAGACAATCAAAGAAGTTGTCCATCATTTCGCACAATTTAGATGTGGCGATGGTGTCGGGAGGACCAAATGACTTAAGAACATTTGCCACTGAAGCACTGAGGATCTGGACAGCAAGGTTGACTCTCATTGTAGAGTAAGCACTGAGCTTAATATGGTCATAAGTTAACCGAGGAAGCAGCTTTAGGCCATTGTCAAGGTCTTGATGAAACAGCTGGATAAAATGCTGCCAGAGGATATAGTGGCCATCATTCCACATGTACCTACAGAATAAGACATTGGTTATTACTATCAATCACTAAATCAAACTACTTCCTTATCGTAGTTTACACCTAAATCATTATATGAATTCTGTAAATGTAATGTTGTTTTGAATAACTAAGGAAATGTAAATCCACCCAAGTTTTCAAGGGAGTTCCCAATCACAACCCCCCTCCTTACGTAAAAATCTTATTGTTTGTAACCATAGTAACCATGTTAGCTAATGTTATCTAGTCAAAATACCAATAATTCTAGCTTGACTATATTATTTCACCTCTTACTAAAAGCAAGGGAAATGTTTGACTCTGTTGTCAATTATATGAATAAATCATACAATTTCTAACATGGATGCATTGAAAGTGCAAATTTTATTCTGTGAAATTATATCTCTACAATAATAGTTTCAAATATATCGACTTACCGAGTACATGTACCATGACCAGAGCTGTAGACACAATTTCTTGTAGTCTTAATGAGATGGGGAGCATCAGAACAAAAATATATGAACCTGTCGGGTGCATAGAGGTTCACAGTGCGATAGCACACATCAGTTCCAGCATTACCATCAAGAGCTTTGTGCATTCTGTACAATGCTCGGTTGGGTGACGCTCCATCTGATGTACTTGCAATCACCCAAAGATTACAAGCTAACTCAAGCACACATACTGCTTGCCAAAACAATGGCATAAGCTGATAAGATGTAATCCCATCGGTGGCAAAATAGGCTAAGCTGAACTTCAACTCAGTACAGAGACCTCTGATATAAAAGACCATAGCATGGCTTGCAATCTTGTCAGCTTTTTCAAGTGTTCCAAAGTTTATATCAGGATCTCCCAGGTCAAGGAAACCAGTTAGTTCCCCAGATACTTTGTCAAATACCAGATTTGACAAAATTTTCATTTCGTCAAAAAGGAGCACAATGTATCGTTGCACATCGAAGTAGCTGTTTGTAAGAACATTCAACTCCTCAAGTACTTCCTCTTGAATGCCAGCTTTGGGTCGTATACAATTTCTATAGTCCTTCAATGTGCGTTGGCTCGGCAGTACAAGGATGTTACTTTTCCTGAGCTCTTCATAGCATGCTGGGGACTTGGTAGCAAGTGACAAGCAGTATCGAATGATCATAGGATGGTATCGGACACCAGTTTTACTCTTTGTCATCAATTTCTTTTGCTGCTGCCAGAACAGATCCATGAATGGAGTGATATTTTCATTGGATGTCCCCAATATACTTGTAATGTCATTGCTTAACTGGTTGTCTACTTCTACACTTGACTTTTCTATCTCTGATTTCATTTCTTCAAGCTTTCGTTCTAGTTCTGCACACTTAAGCCTCTGTGTTTTTAGGGTTAGCTTTATTCTCTCTGGTGTTGTGTGAGAGACTGGAGCAAACAAATGAGCAGGCTTTGCAAGCTTTCTTTGCTTTGCTTTCTGATCCACCTCTGACTTGTGAGAGTATTTGTAGCAAACACAGCACTGCTCACCATGCTCCACCAAAACTTCACAGTCCCGTGTTCTCCAATATTCCAGCTGTGGGAATATCTCAGAATCATCTCTGAATAACGGATCCACTGACTTCGGTATAATGTGGTGTACGATATCGGATGACAGTTCAAATGGTCTCACTCCAGGGCAAATCAAGAGAACATCAATTCTCTTGATAAGTTCAGAGACTGTGATGTTCATAACGGATCGCAAGGTTTCAAGATGAATCGCATGATCATCTGGCAGAAACCATCCAAACACAGACACAGAAAAACCAAGACTATCATCGATGGTGAGCTGAATCTTTGGTAACACAAGCAGAGAACTCTTCTTTGTCAATACAATTCGATCGATTGCTGCCTCTAAGATCCACTCACTTAGAATTTTCAAAGATTTCACTCGTTTTACTAGATCTTTAAAGTCACTGTAGCATTTTTTAGGGGCCACTTCTGGGATTTCGTTGACTGCGCTTCGAGGTGGACGCACATTTACTGGTGTTGTGAAGCTACGCTTCGGCATGTTTACTGTTGGCAAGGCACCAAACTTCGGTTTCTTTTTCTGCATCTTTTCAGATTGAACTAGAGTAGAAACAATCACAAACAAACAGAATCAGAATATAACGTTTGAAGTTTATCAAAGCTCAAGTTAATTGATAAGCTATGCACCTAAGCACCGCGCAGATTATGTCTAGGATCGCGTGTAGTTAAACTTATAAGATTGCATTTAATACTTACAAATCTCAATATCCTCGGGCCTAAAATGGTTTTCGCACGTAAAGACACGATCATTGTCGATCTGGCGCTTGAAATCTTTGTCTACAACGCGTGTTTTGGTCAATTCGTTTAGCCAAAGTTCTCGCCATTTCTTGTATTCAGCATTGCGAGGGGCAGGAAGTTTCCAGATGCCGATTCCTTTCGTTTTGCGGGACGAGCCGCAACCAAAAACAGAGCAGTTATCTCCGGGCATTCCTTCTTCATTTATAGATACATACAAGCAGTATTTAAGAAGGAATAGTAATATTACAGACGTAAAACGTGCAGTCATCAGTACAAACGCTCACATGTGAGACGCCATCTTGAATCTATGTGATGCACGGTCACGCTAGGTTGAACTCGAAAAACCAAAACAATAAGCTATCCCTTTGAAGTTCGCCGGCTTTCATAACCAGTCCCCTCGATTAACTATGCCTGGAAGGTTTCCTAAACCCTCAATAACATCTTTGAAGTCATCCAGAAGATCAGTACAGGTGGCGGCAGTCATTGTACAGACACTCAGCGTGGTCTTAGGAGCCGACGGGTGAGGGATGTCATCGCTCTCATTAACCGTAGTAAGCCCCAGATCCAAACACGTTTTGTTAGACAACAGTGGCGCCAAGTCATCCCTTGTAATGTTGAATTGTAATACAGTGGCGTGTCCGTGTCGCCAAGTGGTAATTTCTGTATTGCCAAGAATATCTTGATATACTTGTGAGAACAAGGATTCACTTGACACAACTGCTCATCCCCAGTGGTGCACTTAATCTTTAAGAGACAAGAGGTTACATTCAGCACCAGTGTCCAGTTGGAATGTCACTTGACACGGGGGGAGGGCTTGCCTACTTCTATAGTAATCATGGCCCGTGCACCACGTCCTATTTGACTGATATGAAACACCTCGTCAGGTACCTCTACGTGATTCACTTGTGTTAGATGATTTGTACTTGGACTGGAAGTGATTTTTCTGGCTGCATTTGCGGCATGTTTGTCCGTATGCAGGGCACTGGTGAGGGGCATGATGGTAACCACAAAATCGACATTCGTGGCGGTTACCTCTCATATCCCGGGGCCTTCTCTGATTCTGTGAAGTCTGTTTCAAGGCGGCAACCACCTCGTCTGATGTACCTTGCATTACTTTCAGTTGTTGATTTGTCTGCTCAGCTGCTTTGCAAATGTCAATTGCTCGCTTTAAGGTCAGATCATTGACTCACAATAACTGTTCTCGGACTTTGTCATCGCGAATCCCAAGGATTAAACGATCGCGTAAAATCTCTTACGGTGTAATTCCCTCGTGAGCACAGTTCTTAGCAATCATACGTAATTCTGTCACGTAGGCAGCAATGCTCTCCCCAGACTCCTGTTTTCTATTGTTAAAACGATATCACTCATAAATAACTTGGGTATGCGGTTCGCAATACTCATCAAATTTTTGTAAGACGTCTGTTATCTTGTCATCCTGTTTGCCCTGTCGCCAAGTAAATGTATCAGAGATTTTTACCGCATCCTCTTCGATAACTGAAAGCAAAGTTGAAACACGAACAAGGTCATTTTGCTTGTAAATGCCGGCAGCGATTTCGTAGCGTTGCCAAACTTTCTTCCACTGTCACCAGCTAGTGGCAAGATTATCATCAACGGTAAGTGGTTTGGGAGGCGGCAGATTTGCTGGTGGCATTATCAATGGTGGCGCTGCGGCCTCATTCATCGCCAGAAATCACGGACATTTCGAGCCCGCTAACAATTATCAGCGGTATATCGTATTACACTCCAGAACAATAGAATATCAAGAGAATTCAATATGGCGGCGATCATGGCTCGATCTGCAAAGAAGCGTGTTTCGTACCACGACTTACACAATTTGAGCACCGCGGATCCTCTATTTGATGAAAATAAAAAGAAAAGAAGAACAGCACGTAAATCTTTGGGATTGTTCGAGGCAGAGCGAATTATTACAAGCCGGGAGGACTCAGAGGTAAAACGCGAAGCTTTGATTATATTCAGTTATATTTCATGATAAGTTTATGAAAGGAAAAAATTGACACGTTAATTAGTTTATCCATATTACATTTTTAAGGGAACGAAATACCTTATTAAGTGGAAAGGCTTCAGCGCATTTCAGAATACTTGGGAGCCTGAAGAACACCTTTCCCAACTTTTGTTGAGGTAAGTTATATTCACCATTAACCGCATTAGCAATATATTGATCAATTTGGTCAACTTGCTGTCTGATTGTTAACACAAGGGTACTCTAACTTTCAACAGACTTCCCTGATACCATACACATGGAAAGAATATGAAAGAAAGCACATAAGAAAACAGTAATGAATCACTGTTTTGGTTATACAAGACTGTTCACTCTGGCCGCTATCAACTTTGCATTGGTACATGTACTTGCTGTTAGTGTTGACTTTTATAATGCTTTTGTGTAGCTCTCAATATTGACTAACCAAGTGAGCTTGGAAGTACACATCCTAAGAACTGGGTTGTGAAAGTAAAACGTTTAAGTTTTAAATTAAAATTAACTATTTTTTGCAGGTACTTTGAGTCTCCAAAACCACATGTGGACACTGTCCAGGAGTGTGTGGACAGACTGAGAGTCTCCTTATCGGATGCTCTCAGGCACAAAGGTCCAACACAGGCTGTATCACTGGAATTTCGCCATGATGTCTTCAAATATCTATTTAGTGGAAAGGGAAGACATGCTGAGGAAAAGAACTGGCAATTATACGAAGAAAACGATTTTAGTAGATGTAAGCTTCCTACCAACTGGAGCTGTATATTAGATAAACATGGAGATGGAGTTAGGATTAGGTTTCCAGTTAAAATGAGGAGATTCCTTAGCCTATCTCCAAAAACCTATGAAAGGGTGGCTGAGGTTGTTGTTGAAGCCCCGAGGGCCTATACTGAAAAGATTTCAGTCAAGTTTGTTAAAGTCTCATCATCATGTAATTAGTCAAATTTATATAACATTTTGATATACAGTAACCAGTAAATGAGTACAAGGAGGACTAAATTAGTTAACCTATTATTCTCAGTGCTTCATTGTTTTTGCATGGTGAAATGAATTTTAACAGACTTACTGAATAATGTTATTTCCTAAGTAAATTTACAGATTATATTTATTGTACTTGAGAATTTTCGACAAGAGCCACTAGGTCTTTTTTTTTAAATTTAGTTATATTTTTCACTTTCATTCCTTTTCTTTTGATGACTTCTTTGAGTTGTGCAATTGTCATCTTGTTATAATCTTGGGTGGCACAAGTGGGGCTTTCATCAGATATTTCATCATCCTCGACCCGTTCCATGTACATGGATGTGCTTGCCGAAGAAGCCCGTTGTTCTTTCCTTTTTCGATGGATTTCATCCTCCCAGTAATCTAGCTTCCTTTTAGTGTAGGTGGCTTTCTTACGTTCATGGTGCTTTAGTTCCCACTGCCTACTTTCTGTGCAAAGTATGTCTCTGGCAGCATCCCACTTATTTGACTTGTGAAAGTGGATTCTCTTAGCATCATCGTTATTTTTTTCTACTCCTTGCCCGGTAAATTGTTTGAGACAACCATGCTTTTGCACAAAGAAAGGAAGGTGGTAGGGAATAAGGTGCATATAGGGGGTTACTCTGGGTCTGGTATACCCTTGGCGAACACCTCGTAGAGAACAGAAAAGTTCAATCCAAGCCTTTGCATCAAGAAATATGTCATGAGCAGAAGTGTTGGTGAGGTTAAAATCAGAAATCTTGTCATACAAGTGGCCAAAATCAACCCACAGTTGTTNGCTTAAGGGTTTTGGGTTACCCAAACTATGCAATTTTGACGCCGAAAAGTGCCAAAAAGTAATTACAGAAACTTCTTCCGCAACACCTTGAACGTGCTGTGGGCGCGAACTGAGATCTTCTCTTACAGTTAATAATTGCCAGGCGGAACTCAGATCCGGCTTAGCCTAATTTGCATAAATTTTTTTGGTGGGCAAAGCTCGTCATGAAACTTCAGAACCAAAGAGTGGGTCACGAAGACTGTCGCCGACAAGTGCCATCCAGACCGCCGTAGAGTTGCTTTCTGTCTCATTTTGGGGTAGTATTTCTCTGGGAAGGCTCCTGTAGTCGTTCCACTATCCTGCTGCCGAGGTCCTTAAGTTTTTCCTGGTTTTTCGTTGTTTCGTAGGCAAAGGCTGTCGAATAATATATGTAAGGCCGACTTAAGGGAAAGTCAGGACAACATTGATAATCATAGATGTTGAAAAATAATTTAAAAGTCATGCAGATAATTGTCTTCGCTGCAACAGATTGGGTGAGAAATCTACAGCAGAGGGAGCTAGAGAAGGAATGGCCGCTCCATTGAAAGAAAAAGCTACGAACTACAAACACTTCAATAGGTTTTTTACACTTGCAATTTTTAAACTCATATAGGCTGTGGATACTAACACACATTAAGTCGATAAGTATAACGAGTCTTTCAACATTTTTTTTTGGCCACTAACACGAGGGAACACTCTACGATACACTCAATTATTGAATCGAATCATTTCGTTTCGCCATTCAATGATGTTTAAGGTGGTTCCTTAATACCGCATTGTGCATCCTGTACTACGCATAAAAATCACGTAATCAGGCGAATAAGCGCGCGCACATTTCAAGAACACGGTATTATTTTTCAATTAATGGACCAGGGAAAGAGGTACGATAGTCTTTAGCTCGTGAACGAGCACGGTGACCTATATTTTTTTTTGCGTAACTTTGGTGTACAAATTATCCAATTTAAATTAGAGACATTAAAAAAATATATTGAAGGGAATAAAAGATATAGCTAAAAGTGGGCACGAAGCCCGTTACTCGATAATGCGAACCAGGCACTTTTAAATGCGCTCGTGCACGATGTAAAACGTGTCCTTTCATTCACAACACTGAGAAAATATCGGAACCCAAACGATCCATTGAGATCCCCGATCACTTCACGTGCACCTCCGCCAATGTAATCTATTGCATGACTTGCACTTATTGCAAAAAGATTTACATCGGCGAAACAGGTAGAAGACAAGGTGACCCTTTCCGAGAACAACTTTACGACGTGGAGAGGAATGACAAGGACACTTCGAAACCAGTCGCTAGACATTTTAATTTACCTAACCATTCTAAGCAACACATAGCAATCTGCGGTCTTTCCTTACACTTAGGTAGCACGGAAAGCCGGAAAACTTTTGAACAAAAGCTCATCTTTCAAACCGGCAGTCCCACAGGTATCAACGAACGCTTTTCATTCCACTAATTTATTCGTGTTTTTCTCGTTGCCATGTTCCCACCAATCACGTAGCTTCTTTTTCTGCCTTTGCACACACAACCCACAATTCCTCTATTCGCTCCGACGAAGGGCTAACGCTCGAAACGTCAGCTTTTATAATCGTAAAGGTGGCCAATTTGCCATGTCAACTTTGTTGAT